CGGTGAAGCAGTAACCCAGACACGTGTCGTGTAGTGATTCGATATATCAAATAAGTCGATAGCGAATAATAACGGACGATGCGCGGCCGCGAGTTTGGCGCGCAGCCAGAAGTCGGTGCGCAGTCGTGCCGTTACAAGTGGGCGCAGCGGCGGCGGAGCGCCTGCTGAACTCCATCAGCCTGAGCGAGCTGTACCTGGGGGACCGCTTTGCCAGCGGCACCTACGGCCGGCTCTACACTGGCGTCTTCCGAGGACAGGTATGCCGGTGCACTGGGGCAGGCCCTTCACCAACACAGCGCTCGCTTTTGGGTAGACGGGCCAGCAGGTGTGCAATTCCAACACAGCAAGGATACCGTTGCGGAGAGTACCAATTAAGTTGCAGCAGGTCTTTGAATAACCCACATTGGTCAAATAATCAGTTCGGACGCTCAGTGCTGCAGTGGCTGGCAACTATGCCCCAATTGTGTGCTTTCACGGTTCCGGTGTCTGTTGAAAACTTTCTCTTCACCGACTCTATCCCTCTGCTCCGGCACTGCCAATCTTTTGAAATTGACTATTACGTTTGCGCGTTCTTGCTCAGACTGTGGCCATCAAGATCGTGCGCTCCCCCGAGTCAGAGCAGGCGGCCTTTCAAATGGCGGACATGTTCTCGCGCGAGGTCACCATGCTGGCGCAGCTCAGCCACCCCAACATTATGCAGGCAAGCCGGGCACCCAGACTCTTGAAGACACTCGCAACCTTCTTCGGCTGTCTCACCCTTGCATGTGCTCAAGCTGAACTCCCAAGCAAGGGAGCGCTCACTGGCGCTGCCAAGAGGAGAAGACGTAACCGAGCAGGATCCAATCAGGGATGCGCGTACATCTGTCCCACTTTTCCCTCTCCCTTTTCGTGCTGCAGTTCATGGGCGCGTGCCAGAAGCCCCCCCTGCACTGCCTTGTGACCGAGCTCCTTCCGGGGGGCACCCTGCGCAAGTACCTCAGCGGCCCGACTGCGCCGCCCCCCTTTGCGGTGGCGCTCAGGATGGCGCTCGATGTAGCGCGGGGCATGGACTACCTGCACTCCAAAAACATCATCCACAGGTCAGCGCCGAGCCGGCTGCCGGGCCCTCTGATCCGTCCGTTGTACATTGTTGTCTTGGGACCGCCTTCTGGCAATGTCCTGAGTAAACGTAGGCAGGTGGCTCATTTGGGCGTGTACCTAAGCGGCACTCATGGTGGCATGGGTGCAGGGACCTGAAGGCCGACAACCTGGTGCTTAGCCGCAGCCACGTGGTGAAGCTGACTGACTTTGGCAGTGCGCGCGTGGAGAGCGAGGAGGGCGCGCAGATGACCGCCGAGACGGGGACCTTCAAGTTCATGGCGCCCGAGGTGGGGCCCGCGTCCGTAGCCCGCTCCGTAGCCTGCCCTGCAGGGGTTAGAGGTCGAAGAGCAACTTAAGCAGGGCGGCCTGGGATACACCACCCAAGTTTGCGGCTTCCATCCGATTGGAGAATTGAGTCTTGGCTCCTATCGTAGATTCCTTTAGAGCTTGCAACTGTTTTTCGAAGGCAGTCGTTTGTTATTGCGGAGCTCATTGCCCTCGCCCCGCGCCCCTTTTCGTTGTTCCTGCCCTGAGCCGCGTGCGCCTGATGTGGCTGCAGGTGATTCGGCGGCGCGGCTACAGCCGCAAGGTGGACGTGTACAGCTTCGGCATTTTGCTGTGGGAGCTCTTCACCGCCGAGGTCGCCTTCGCGGGCATGAGCGGCGTGCAGGCCGCCTTCGCCGTCGTCAACAAGGTCAGCGCGCGGCTGGGCCTGCTGGGAGGGCGGCGGGGTCTTGCGGCAGGCACTCCCCACCTCAGTCACCGCAAGCGGTGTCACCATTGAGCTCAAGCAGTCCAGCACTCCACGCTTCCTTCAATTCAAGTACTGCTCTCGTGTCAGTCTGCGTCCGGCCCGTCAGTGAAGTCCTTCCGTCCCCTTCCTTGCCTGCTCCGCGTCTCACACGTCTTCCCCTCGCTTATCAGGGCCTCCGCCCGCGCGTCCCCCCGAGTCTCCCCGCGCCCCTCCGCGCGTTGATCCGCTCCTGCTGGCACCCCACCCCGGACCGCCGCCCCGACTTCTCCGCCGTGGTGCGCCTCCTGGACGCTCTGCGCGCCGGCCCCACCGCCAGCGCTGCCCTGCTCCCCCACCGCCGGCGGCGCCTGCCGTTTCGCCTGGCGGCGGCCTGCTTCCGGGGGGAGGACGACGAGGACGGCGCCAGCCCGGGCCGGGAGGGCCACGACGCCACCTCCAGCGAGGGGACGCCGTCCGAGCGGCGCGCCGCGGCCTTCTTCCAACGGCGGGGCAGGCAGCACGCGCAGCCCTGATGGGCAGCCCGGCCATTCTGGCTGGCCCAGCAGCCGGCACCCCTCCACCAACCGTGGTGCGGAGCGTGAGGCCGCGGGAAAGCGACAGACGGCCGCGACAGAAGAGAGGAACACGAAGCTGACGACGCTGGGAACCCTGGCAGAGATCCACGTCATGTGTCAAATAAGCGAGAAAAGTGATCGACTAACAGACGACCTCCAGTGAGTTGAGTGGAATCGAGCCCAGCCGCAAACTAGATACACCCGGAATTGAGAAAGCCAGGCCCCCTTGGACTTCGTCCCTGGCCTGCCAGGACTACCGTAGGACGGTAAAACGGAACCGCACACGTGTACAGACTGCGCCCTTTTTCGTGAGTGGAGGCAACGGATGGCAAAGCCGATAGGACCCTCGAGCTTGGTGGAGTTGCCCCCTGGGCGTTCGCAGGATCAGGTAGGGCCAATTCCGGCACTCATAATTTTAGCTCCCTAGCGGCATGGTAAAAAGAAAAGTTTTTGGCGATCTTGGTTGGGGTCGAACCCAAGACCTTCCCGTAGGTCCGTGGACCCGGAGATTTTGAAAATGTACACCCG